AAAAAAAAAAAAAAAAACAGTACCAAGGGAAAGAGCCAGGATATTTCCTATTTGTAATATTTCTTGGCTTCATTTACCCCTTTTTTGTATATCTAGTTCATTGCTAATTTTTAAATTTTAGCTATTTATCTGACTTTTCCAAATACATTCGTATTTGGAACTAGCTATTCTTTTTCCTGTTTCATGAGAGAAAGGCAGACACATTCAGTGAGAAAAAGAGTGGCTAAAATAAAGAGCATAACCTTCCAAATGACTGTCTCCTTTGTGTAAAGGGTACAGAAAAAATTTGTTTATTTTGTTAATTTCATTTTAAATCCAAGAAGCTGAATAAGACAAACGGAAAATGCCAGCAAGGATGACATGACAAAGAGCCTAATAAACTGCAGAATGTTTATACCATGGAGAAGAGCTAAGCTACATAAACTGCCCTCTGGGAACAGAATAGATAGCTAAGCCAAAGCAGGTCACAGCCAGGCTAAACAACATGTTGACAGTGAAGAAGAATAATGCAATCAAGTGCCCCAAATAGTTCACAGATGCTGTGAAATATTAACTGTTTATGAATCCTAATATCTTTATTGCAAGATAAATGAAAGATCATCAAATCTAATCTCTTGCCTTGTATCATCTATCTGAAGTCTATGTTAATTTTTTCAGTTGATTATGTACATGAGTGTGTGTGTTTTAATGCTTTTTGACAGGCACCAAAATAATGTGAGCCTCTTACTCCTGATGATACAGCCAAGGAAATTTAAAACATTTCAGTCACCAAAATTTCACTTGAATACACATTCCCTTACAAATAAATACCACTACCAGTTGCTGTTGAGCCCATTGCAACTCATGACATATATGCACTATACATGTCACAGTGGAACTATGCTCAAAGAGGTTTTTAATGACTGATTTTTCAAAAGGAGATTTCTAGGCTTTTCTTCTGAGGTGACTCTGGGTGGAGTGGACTCTCCATCTTTTTGGTTAGCAGTCAAGTGTGTGAACTGTTTGCACCACCAAGGGACTCTACGTATAAGTACCAAACCAACAACCAAACCAATGGCCATCAAGTTGATTATGACTCACTGTGACCTTATATGTTTCAGAGCAGAAATTCACTGCTAAGGGTTTTCATGACTGTGACCTATCAGAAGCAGATCACCAGACCCTTCTTCCAAAGCTTCTGTGGGTAGATTTGGAAGACCTACCTTTCGGTTAGTAGGGGAGTGTTTTACCATTGGTACCACCTAAGGGCTCCTTATAAATATATAAGGGCTCACATTTTTATATATGTACAAGACCCCTGACTTTTTAAAAATAATTTCTCTCCCTATCACAATGACATTTGTTTGTGTGTGTGCTTCGAATTGGTAGCGAAATTAGTGGGGGGGGGGGATCCTCCTAAAAGATATTTCACTACATAATGATTTACGGTATCCTCCTAATACAAAAATGAAGAATAATGAAATGCCAGTCAGCAGTTACCTTCTTGATGGTGTCCAGCATGGAACGCCCTCCCTGCCAGGGCTTGGAGTTCTTTCTGATACATGACAAACTTGCCATGCTGTGCCACTTTCTGTCTTCCAATTTCTTATGAAAAGCATTAGCCAGCAGAAGCACTGTATCATATATGTAAAGGTTTGAAATCTGAAAAGACATGAGACAGTAATCATTAGAATCATGGACACCAGCCATCAAGGATAAGGAGAAATTATAAATTCAACTGCTTTCATTCGTGTCACAGATGGCTAGTTTACTAGGTTTTTTATTAAGTGAAAGATTTCTTTCTTCTTTTTTTTTTTAATTTCATTTCCCAGGCAATTCTGCCATTGAGAATGAAGTCTTGTCTGATTGCATTACTCAATTGCTCTTTCAGCTTATTTAAGTGTGAAAGAGAAGATATAAATGGGAAGTTTCGACAGAGGCAATGCTGTTAGTGTCAGAATTTAGAAAATCACTGGTCCATATTTCTTTTTGAGGAGGTAAGGATGTAAGGGTTTAAGATTGGAAGAGCAGACTGAATAATATATTTTCTGAATATGTCAAGCTTTTGCTATCTACTTATTCAGATGGAGAAATATCAACTCAATCTTACATATAAGATGAGTGTCAAGGGTATATAAAAAGGAAAGAGCCATCTGTATATACATTTGTGTCTATGGGGATTCAGTCATGAAAGAATTAAATGAAACAATACCATTCACAAACAATACAATGATCATGGATTCATATTAAAATGGTATATAATGTATATGCATTAACAATACATTAATAAGGAGCTCTGGTAGCATAGTGCCTAAGGCACTTGATTGCTAACCAGAAAGCTGGCGGTTCAAACCCACCAGCCACTCCTTGGAAAGAAGATGGAGCAATCTACTTCCATAGTGATACTGCCTCAGAAGCCCAAAAAGGGGTCGCTATGAGTCGGGTCCGACTCGATGGCACATAACAACAACAACAACAATACATTAATAGAACAAATTCTATAAACTACTAACTGTTTGTGAATGTGCACTTATATAAGTGCTATTTTCTTCTTAGATAACCAACCATCTTATTTTCTTTCAATATAGATTGAAAAGTGAATTACAGCCAATTTTTGGTAAGGTCAATTGCACTCATACACTTAAGTCTTATGAGAATTACAATTATACTGTCAATTAATTAGTATTTTCAAAGGAAATAGAAATTAGAAATTATAACACCAAGAGATACACCAGGTCAATAAAAAAAGCTTTTAAATCATTATGGCCCTAAAGTTTAAAATATATATAAAATGAGGAAATCAATGCAGCTGTGAAAATAAATTCCATTTGAAAGTATTTAAATTTTCCCAGGGTTTAAAAAAAGTCTAGGGAGGCGGGGCAAGATGGCGGACTAGGCAGAAGGATTGCACAGACCCTCTTCAACAAAGAAAAGGGAAACCAATTAACACAGACACAGAAGATAATCTTG